GAGCGAATTTATAAGCAACATTGTCAAGTTTATTTTAACTATCAAGAGAATTTTTAGTACGACCTTCCGCTCCAATAAACAATGCTCTGTATTTGTTTAGGAGGGTATTAATTTTTATCTAAAAAGAAGGAGGCAATTAAAGTGTTTTCCCAAAAGATTAAGAGAAAATCCTTAAGAAATTTGATCTAACTAAATAACTAAATATAAGACTAACTTTGGCTCTCCTTATTTAAGAGGGATTAAAAGTATTTTGACATCAGTAGGTAATCCTAAATATTTAGTGTAAACAAATATAGAAGGGAACTAAAGTAGTGGTTTTCTTCTAAAGAACATTTATTTTTGTTTGAAAATTTTAAGCAAATTTTTCATTGGCCTTTACCTTTAACTTTTAGTTTTAATTTAGGAGAGAACTACTTAATATTCTTGGAAAATTCATGAGGGAGTCCAAAGAATTTGATCTATACAAATACAAGACCTTTGACTCCAATACAATATTTAGGAAATGAAATTCGTTCAAAACATTTTTCAAATTTTACAAAATAATTTTTTTCATTCATCACTTTTAAAAGTATAATTTTACATCCGTTACAAATTTACATTGATCAAATTTGGTCCCTACTTAGATTTCCGACTAATTTTTTATTGGAATCCACCACATGTCTTGCACGTGATAATTTTTAAATGGCAAAATTGTCAAATCAAATTTTATATAATCCGATTCATAGTCCATCACATTTCATAAAATATATTTTTCTATCTCTTATATTTTACAAAATAAAATTTTTCATTCCTTATTGATCATATGCACGAATAGCTTTTTTTAAAATAAATATATATATATATATTTGATTTCATTTGAATAGTACAAATAACATGTAATATATCTCTATTTTTTTTAGTGTAAGCGAGAGGGTTCAAATCTGAGACCTCTCACTTATACTAAGGATGACAACGGGGCGGGGTTGGAGCGGGGGACAGGAGAGGAGTTGGGGCCAAATTCCCCCCGCCCCCATCCCGTCCCCCGCTCCCCCCACCTCGTCCCTACTCAGCCCCGCTTCCCCAGCGGGTGCCCCCGTGAGACTTATAAAAATTTGTTATATATTTTTATTATAGTTAAATTTTAGCAAATAATCAACTACTAAAATATTAACACATCACCAAATTATTATTCATTGTAATTTCACAATTGAAACTTATAAAAACAATCAAACAAAAGTTATTTGAATACAATCCAACATAATGAAATAAATACAACTAAAGTAGTCAAGTTTTCACTTTTTACACAAATACAATCACTAATTCATTATTGTACTTGTGTTTTTTTTTTTTGAGAAAAAATTGTTATTGCATTAAGTGTAATTAGGATTTAGTATAAATGTATTAGTAAATTTAGTATAACCAATTAATAATTTGTATTAGTACACATATATAATTATTAGTATAATTGATAATATCAATTATATTACATATACTAATATACATTATATAATACATATAAAATATTATTATCATAAGTTTGTAACTAATTAAATTATATATTATATATGTAATTATATACATATATTTTTTTTTAAAACGGTTGGTGGGGGGGTACACTCCCCTGCCCCCCCCCCGCCCCGTTTCTAAGAGGAGAGAAAAAAAATCCCCCGCCCCAACCCCCATCCCATTGCTATCCTTATTTATACTCCCTCTCCTATACCACCCTATCAACTTGTTCAAATGAAATCTATTTTTTTTTTAATGTAAACGGGAGGGTTCGAATCTGAGACCTCTCACTTACACTTCCTCTCCTGTACCACCCTATCAGCTTGTTCAAATGAAATCAAATAGAGATATATTACATGCTATTTGTAGTGTTTAAATGAAATCAAATAGACATATGTATGAATTTTCATAAATAAGAAAAAAAATTATTCGTACACATGTCATAAAATGAATTTTTTCATCCCTCATCGATCATTTGTTTGAATATTTTTTTAAACCCATATATATCTATTTGATTTCACCTGAACAGTATAAATACATGTAATATACTCTATTTGATTTTACCCATAACTACAATTAGCTTGTTGAGGTGAAATCAAGTAAAGATATATTACATGCTATTTGTATTGTTCAGGTGAAATCAAATAGACATATACATGGATTTTCAAGAATAAGAAAAAACTATTTGTACACATGATCCATGAGGGATGAAAATTTTTATTTTGTGAAATGTGAGCGACAAAAAAATTCATTTTATGAAATGCAAGGGATGAAAATATTCATTTTATGAAATACGAGGGACTGTGGATCAAATTATGTGAAATATAATCTGACAACTTTACCCCTAAAAAATGATCACGTGTAAGACACGTGATGGATTCCGATAAAAAACTATTCGAAAATCAAGATAGAGACCAAATTTGACTAATGTGAATTTCTAAGGGATGTAAAATAATACTTTTAAAAGTGAGGGATAAAAAAATTATTTTGCAAAATATGAGAAATGTTTTGAATGATTTTTCCTTTAGGAAATGAATGAATTATTTTCATGGTAACTTTAGGTGGAAATCCCAAAAAATTGGTGCAAGTAAATATATGTGATAACCCAGCTACTACTTCAAAAAAAATTGATTTTTGTTGAATTTTTTTATTTCATGGTAAATTTGAGAGAGACTCCAAATAAGTTGACTGTAAATAACTATTGGGTTCAATACTATATTTAGGGAAGAACTAAACAATTTCACGATAAATTTACGTGGAATTAAAAAATAATTTGGTTTAAATATGCAAGGAAAACCAATTAGTGTTTTATTAAAAATATATTAATTGTATCCAAAAAATTGGCATGAATTCTTAATTCTTAAAAGGCCTTTTCCTTTGATAGCTTTTATTCTGAAGCGAACTAAACTTTTCTAACTGTAAATTTAGGAGGGAGTCTAAGAAAATTTTACATAGATATAGGAGGAGACCAAATAGAGTTTTTTTTTAAAGTATATAATTTCGTTTGAAAACTTTGACGTAAATTTTGAAAGGAACCAGAAATATAAGAATAGTTAATAAAACTTATTGTTGATGTTATAAGCGTGTCGTGTTAGAAAGTGAGGATTAAAGTGTCAACTCTTAACTACTAATACGCACACTTGTCAACCACGGATCCTACTACTACCCATTTTGTATATGTGTCAAAATTGTGTTGACCTAATTGGGAAATAATATTTTTTAAAATCTTATTTCAATCAAGTTTTTATTAAGTGGCATTTGTGTGGTTCCATCGTGTCGAAATCAAAATTGCCACCCCTACTTTTTATTGTATTTGGGACTTTTTAGTGGGGTCAAGGAAAAATAAAGGAAAGTGAGGAAGTTAGAATTGGTTAATTAAACTATTTTTGAGAAAAGTAAGACAATGAAAGTTGTAAATGAATCTGTTTTAGGGAAACATGCTGTTTAATCTCGAATATTTAGCACCTATGTAGTATTCGTTCTTAAAGTTTCAACAAAAACAAATATGGTCCCTAACATTTAGCACCTATGCAATTTAAGTCTCTAGAAAGAACAAAGCTAGTCAACATTTTGTCCAATTTGAAGTAGATTTAGAATAATTGAAAATTTTTTTCTCAATTACTAATATAACTTAGTCACATGCAGTGAAATGTCCATTAAAATGAATTAAAAAAAACAAAATAGTGACTAATGAAAAGAATTTGTTTTGCATAATTTAGTAGGTAATATGTGCTTGGTTTTGCGTGATTTTGAATTATTTATAAGTGTTTCAACTAGGGTTTTGTGTATATTAATGAAAGGGTTTGAGTTACATTATTGCAAACTTTGCAGCTTTATTGGCCAAATTATTCATGTATTGTAGGTACTTGGAGCATGAAGATCATTTGCAAGAAGAATTTGATGATACTTTCAAAGATTTTGAAGTGCGAACAAAGGGAATCAAGTCCAAGTGTAATTAGGGGTGGGCAAAAAAATTCGAAAACCCGAGATACTCGACCCGACCCGTACCAAAAAATAGGATATCCGATCCGATTTCTATCAGCGGATCAGATAGGGTTGAGTACCCTAAAAATTCGGATACAGATACGGATCGTAAAAGTAAAAACCCGTGGGTACCCGACCCGGGGGTATAATATATAAGTATTAAAAATATAGGGGCAATTCTATAATATTTTAAGTTATTATTAACCCTAATCTAAATGAATCCATCGGTCTTCACTAGGGGTGAGCATCGAATTCGAATTCGGTAATTCGGTAGCTTGAAATCGATAATTTTCGGTAAATGGTGTTGGAATATTTCGACCTAATTCGTATTCGAATTACCAAATATCGAATTCGAATTCAATCCGAATTGAATTCGGTAAACACAAATTGACCGAATTTGTCCGAATTCGTGAAGCTGAAGCAGCTTGTTTTCTGTTTGTTTTGCTTTGTATAATAACTATACATTCACTTAGGGGCCTGAAAACAAATTAACAATTTCTAAAGTATAGGAGCCGGGCAAAGTGCAGCCTGAAAAGCAAACCATAACGTTGCACAGAGGTTCATTTTTTGAAAAATGGATATCGAGCCAAATCATTTCTAGCAATAAAATAAGTGTTGTTTACAATTATCATTCATAAAGCTGCACCAAAATAATGGCAAAAAATAGAAGTAAGTGGTAATCACGTCCATAGGCACAACAGCCGCTCAACTAGATGATTGCACTACCAAATCACAACACATAAAACTTTCCCCAGTAGCTACCAGTTCAAAACAGATGTAGAATCTGCTAAGTGACAAGAGAGGCCATCCCAAACTTCAGAATTACTAACCATCCCAAACTTCATACACATCCAGAAATGACAAATCCACAAATCCAGGAATCACAAATCACAAATCCACAATCAGAAATTACAGAAATCAATCCAGAAATCATAAAGGTCAATTATCTAGAAACAATCCACAATCCACAAGAACAAACAATTATAGGTGGTTCAACTTTGAAAAATGCAAACTCCAGCATTTGTGACCTCTCAAAGGTAAATTATAGTTGATTCAGTTCTGGTCTTCAGCAACTCTACAAGAACAAACAAAATTCATGAAGTCTCATAAAGGCAATTATTAGAAATAAAGAAATACTTCAAATTCTGCAATAAAAATTTTGATAGCTTACCAGATTCGAAGGTTTCAAGTTCTTCCAGATTTTCTTCTACATTTAATTCTGTCTTGGAGGACCGAAACCAATCTTGAGCACATATTAAACTTTGCACAATTCTAGGAGTCAAAGAACTCCTAAATGTATTAAGAACACGACCTCCGGTACTAAAACCATATTCGGAGGCCACGGTAGAAATTGGGACTGCTAACATATCACAAGCAACTTTCGAAAGGATTGGGAATCTAAGGCTATTGGCCTTCCACCATAACAAGATATCAAATCTCTCATCATCTTCCTCACAATTCTCATTCAAATATTTCTCTAATTCAAATTTTGCATCCCTAACCCCAAGTTCCATTTTTTTCTTCTTAAACTCCAACTTGTACCGGTCAGTGATTGTTTTAGAGGCATTCCCATGTCCATAAAATGTTGCTTTACTCCTTTGAGATTCACTTGAAAGTGAAGAAGCACGAGACACAGAATTTGAGGCAGGTGTGTTAACCATCTTGTATTCATTAAACAGCTCAAACATTGCATTTTTTGCAAGGCCAGCTATTGTTGTACCATCGGACTCACCATACATTTGGCAAACCACAAATTCAAGGTATTCAAGTTTAGTTCGAGGATCAAGCATGGAGGAAATAAAAATCAGCATATTCATCTTTTCAATCTTTCCCCAATACTTATCATATTTCTCCTTCATTGATCTTGCCATTGAACTCAATTCTTCATTATCACTTGCTGTCATTTCAATTAAAATGCCATGAATGTGACTAATATCAGTGAAAAAATTATTTGAAATCACATATTTGGAACCGGAAACCTTCACAGTTAGCTGATAAAAGTTTTCCAAAAAAATTACCAAAAACCTAGCTTTTGTCCAATCAGATTTTGTTGGCAGATTTTCTAACTCTTGAAGCATGTAAGGATCCTGCTCCTCGAACCTCTCAAAAGCCCGCTCAAACCTTTGAGCTGTGTCTAGCATTAGATATGTAGAATTCCACCTCGTAGAGACATCTAAACAGAGCAATCTTTTGCATTCAATTTTTTCAATTTCAACACACTCCTTGAATTTTTTCAATCTAGAAGGTGACTGTCTAACATATCTAACTGCTGCCCTGATACAATCAACTGAATCCCCAAGTTTTTTGATGCCATCATTAACAATTAGATTCACTATGTGAGCTACACACCTCACATGAGTCCATTTCCCCCTAACACAGCTTTCCCCCAATTTTGAAGTTTTCCTCGTAAATAGTTGACAACTACATCATTGGAACTTGCATTGTCAACTGTAACAGTTAGGATATCATCAACTCCCCATTCTAGGAGACACTTTTCTATGGCCTTACCAACTTCAGTTCCCTTGTGACAATCATTATCTATGAAATGGGCAGTGAGGCACATATAGTTTATCCTTTGAACGGATGTCTAAGAATCTGTAGTTAGACAAATTCTGCCACTGTTATTCTTCAAGAGATGTTTCAACTTAATTTTTTCATCTAAATACAGCTGATAGCAATCTCTAGAAATAGTCCACCTCGAAGGAATTCTAAATGATGGACAAGCAGTCTGTATCATGTATTGAAACCTCTACCCTCTACATGTTTAAATAGCAACTCATCAACAATTACCATATAAGCTATGCTTTTTCTAATGGCTTCCGCATCAAATTTTCAACTTATGAGTGCCCCTTTAATCTCTCCCTCTAATGTTTCAGTTTCACCCAAACACAAAGTAGCCTGGCCAGTGTGCTTATTTTTAGGATTTAGAGGACATTTAGCTACATGAGTATTAAGGGGAGTCGTACTATGACTTCTGGGATCTGCAGCTATGTCCTTCTCACAGTATTTGCAAATTGCATGACGAACTCCATTCACATGCTTTACATGAAAATGATCCCAAGCTTTGGATCTCTTCTTGTACTCTCCTCTTTTCTTGACAATACCAGATTCTTCACAACTTTGTGTTGTAGGACTAGGAAGAAAAGGTCCATATGATCCTTCTTGTTCCAACTCATTGCGATTTGGATTACTCTCACCATTATCAGTAGTAGACATACCTTAAGTTTTTTGAAAATCTGAGCAAATAAATTATACAATTTAGTGCAACAATCAGTTAGCAATAAAATTGAAATAAAAGACTAGATGAAATTGAAGAACCAACTCAGGACAACATTTCCTCTCAAAACTGAAAATGGAGAGGAAACTTATAATCACTATTTCGTGAGAAATGCTACAAGTATAATAATAATTGGTCAATTTAGTTGAGGAGGCCTATTAGTTCCTGATTAACAATTATCATTTTTCTGCTTTCAAACTAGAAGGAAAGACATAATTTGGACCTATTAATACACTTCCCTAACTATATATACAGGTTCATTGTTCACAATCATCCCAAATTTAAGCCCTCGCATTCAAATGCTTGGCTTATCAAACCATGAAGAATTCTACGTCTTGACTAACATGCAGCCTGAGAAGAGTACAACATGCCTGTTTATGTAAATTGGAGACGAAAGTACAGATTTATGTAAATCTTCAAGAACTCACTCATAAAGCCAAAAGAGCAATTCTGATTGCTATTCCTTTTGTTTGATTCTTACCTCCATCAATTAGTCATTGAAATGAAGATGGAAAGTAAATCAGAATGCTTTAGTCATCAATTAGTCATTGTTTGATTCCTGTAGCATTTCTTACGAAATAGTGATTATAAGTTTCCTCTCATACTAAGCAACTCTTCAGGTGAAAGATTGTAAACAATTTTAAGCTGAAGTGCTGATTACCAAACAACAGAGTGAAGTACATTCGTGATACTTTAGGACCATGATTAACCAAATTTTCCAGCTCAAAAGCCAAAATTAGGGCAACTTATTAATCTACAAAGTGAAGCACTTAACTTACCTTCACTGGAATCAGCACTAGCGAACCGTGGTCCTGGTGATGGTGGATGCTCGGTCAGCAATGGTGGATGCTCGATCAGCAATGGTGAAGCCTCGGTCAGAACGGGAAACGGAGAAAGAGTCTAGGGGTGAGTTTTGAGCTTTCTGTAGTTGAGGAGAGGAGAGGACTAACACTGACTAAGGAGAGGACTGAGGAGAATAAGGAAAGGAGAAACGAGAGGAAGAGGAAGAGGGGACGGCGCCGCGGCAGTGCAGAGGAACAAGAGGAAGAGGGGACGGAGAGGACTGGAGAAAAGTAGCTAGTTTAGGGCACCACATCTGAAAATCTGAAATTGGACCAATATCCGGACATAATGTATCATTTCCTATGTAACTTAATTCGGGAATTTCGAAATTGAAAACGGTAAATTATTACCGTTTTACCGAAATGAATTCGAATTCCGTAAATCCGAAATGAAAAACTATAAAATCATTTTCGACCCTAATTCGATTTTACCTAATATGATATCCCCGATTTACCGATCGAATTACCGAATTCGAATTACCAAATTGAAATCGATTTCGGTCGGTAAATTGGTAATTACCGTAATTGCTCACCCCTAGTCTTCACTCTTTATTCTTCAGCCGACACTTCCTCAGTTCACTTTCTCCTCCTCCTCCTCCTCCTCGACAATCGACAACTTCTTTCTCCATCTCTTCAATTTTGTCAAGTTGAACTCAAGCCCGCAAGCCTCAAGCAGACGATTCAACAGAGACTTTCAATTTCGATTTCTCAAGCCAACGCCGACCTTCATCTGCACTGCAGGTTTTTTGTTTTTGTTTTTTTGAGAATGCCGATTGAGCAAATATTGGAGCAACTAATAATTAGACATCTCTTTAGGGGAAAAAATTAGAATATTCAACCTAAAACAAGGTTGTAGGCAGATTACCGAATGTCTAAACTAAGAAAACCAATTTAGGTGATAAGGAAAAAATTTAGGTGAATTCGATTTTAAATAATCTAATACTTAGATATTAGCTACTGTTTTCAAGGTCCCTTTATTGTTGAAATAGTCAATGGAATAATTTATTTAGATGAATTACTTCGGACTGCATGATCACAAAACTCAGCAGTAGAGCCGGAAGTGTAAATCATTGGTAAGTTCCTACTATTAGAAAAGAAAAGGAAGCTACAATAGAATAGTTCACTAAATCTGCAGTATACGCAAAGTAAGAATCTTTTGTATCTCGTTGATAATGCACTTGATGTAGTATTTTAGATGACTATATTTGATACTTCTGAAAGTACCTTAGCTCATCATATATCGACCGAACTATGATGGTATTAATTCCCAAATCAACATAAAAGAATGACCTTAGCTGTTACTTTATTCAGTACTGAGATTTTTGTTTCTATGTATGACCCTTTATTTTATATATTTGATGAATCTGGACATGGTTTTATGGGAGTTTTTGAGCTATGTATTAGCTGCGCATATGGTAGAGAAGTGGGGTTTTCATTTGATTTGTTGTTTGTTTGGTAATTCTTGGCCTTTTTTGAAAACTCTTTTTCCCAAGCACTAATTCAAAGCTCTGTCATTTTTTTTTCTTGTTTTCGTCCCATCTTGCAAAATTCAGGCTTTTTATAGGCGGAAATATCTTTTGCCAATTTTCTGAATCTCTTAGGTTAGTCCTCCCTTAAAGTTGCACTTTGTTCTTTTCTAACGCTCAAAGAATATAAAAGGGATTTAAGAAAACTTATTTGTTTGGTTATTGATGATATTTATGCTATAAAACTGGTTCTGGAGAGTGATTTTCATCATAGATTTTCCTCATAGGGGTACATTATGAAATGGCAACATTTATTTTTTCTTTATTTAAAGTGTAATATCTGCTCTTGTTTGGGTGAAATATCTGCTCTTGTTTTCAGATGTGTAGTAGTTAAAGTTTTTTGAATTTTTCAGATGTCAAGTACGGGGGATAAAACAGCTACTACAGCTGCAAGCCCAAGTATTGATCATTCATCATCAATGGATCAAAAAATTGATGCTAGAGCCTCTGAAACTGAAACATGTCAAGTACCACCTCATCCAATATCCGAGACAAAAGTGTCTACCAAGAGCAGTAGGTCTTGGGTTTGGGAGCATTATGTAGTTGTTACAGGTACGGAAACAAAAGACAAGAAAGCTGCTTGTAAATATTGTGAACAATTGATTGCCTGTGCAAGCAAAAATGGTACTACTTCTTTGACTAATCACCTTCATAGGTGTAAAAAATATCCGTATAATAACACGGATAAGAGGCAAAAGACACTGGAATTTAAACCAAAAGAGGGAGGGGGAAAAGCATTAACAATCCATATGTTTGATCAAGAATTGTGTAGGAGAATGTTGGCTAGGATGGTGATTATAGATGAGCTACCTTTTAAATTTGTGGAAAGGGAGGGATTTCAGGATTTTTGTCAAGTTATCCAGCCACGGTTTGAAATGCCATTACGAAGAACTTTAACTAGAGACTGCCATAACCTTTTTTTAGATGAGAAGAAAAGTTTGATGCATACTTTGAAACTTTATCCTCATGCAATTGTCTCACTACTGATGTTTGGACATCCATTCAAAATCTGAATTATTTATGTTTGACAGCTCATTTCATTGATGATAAATGGAAATTGCACAAAATGATTTTAAGTTTCTGTCCTATTACAAGTCATGCGGGTGAAGTTATTGGTCGGACAGTAGAAAAATGCTTGCTTGATTGGAAAATTAGTAAAGTTTTGACTGTTACGGTAGATAATGCTAGCTCAAATGACACTTGTTTGCAATATTTGAGAAGAAGGCTTATTAATTGGAAAGGTATTGTCTTAAATGGAGAATACTTGCATATGAGATGTGCTGCCCATGTTTTGAATTTGACGGTTAAGGAGGGATTGAAAGACTTGGAAGACTCTATTGTTAGGATTCGATCAGCTATGAGATATGTTAGGTCTTTACCTGCTAGAGCTCAAAGATTCAAATCTTGCATAGAAAAAGAAAGAATTGAAAGTAAAAGTCTTGTATGCCTTGATGTTGAAACTAGGTGGAATTCCACATTTTTAATGTTAGAGGCTGCTCTAAAATTTCAAAAGGCATTTGAGTTGTTAGAAACTGTGGATAGCAAATATGTCGAAGAGTTAACTCCACAAAGTGAGAATGATACTCGTAGGAGTTCTAAGGTAAGGGGTGTACCAACTGAAATGGATTGGGAGTATGCAGAAGATTTGTTGCCTGTTCTTCAAATTTTTTGTGATTCTACTGTAAAAATGTCAGGTTCACGTTATGTGACTGGAAATGTGAATGCATGTGATTCGTATGGAGTGAATTTCACTTCATTGCTGCCACTTATATCGGGTGATGCCCACAAATGTGCCAATCAAGATCCGAATATTGGTCTTACCTCGCTGGTTCATGCTTCTAGGGAAGTGCAACCCGATTGGTTCAATGTTCCACGTCCAGATAGGCAAGTTGTGCCACATCAGCAACAACCAGGTGACAATATGACAATCCATGGCCGAAAGCTGATTAGAGAGCTTTGGATTGTTACCTGGAATTTTCACGAGCCTTACACAAGCTCTTTCCTATCTTGGCGCATGTCTTTGTTTGAGAGCCTCATGAAGTTGACCAAACGGCATTTAACTTGGCTCGTGACCTTTCATTTGTTCCCAACGTGGCTGATCTCCAAGCGCACTGTCGATTTAAGGTGTCATACTACTAACTCTTGTTAGTATCATTCATCTCCATCCAGATTTGAGGACAAATCATTCTCAAGAGAAGGGGACTGATGTGTGCACGGATGGCGAGATGGATGACGGCCTTGACTCAAAGCTTTCATGGAAACCTTGAAGGCTTGAAGGATGTAATCAAGTTGCCTACACTTTGATTCAAGTCAATGAAGCTTAATGGAGTTGGCCGAATCGTTAGTCTTTTAGTCGTTTGTTATTAGTTGTTTGTTAGTTGGGCTTATCGAGTTATTAGTTGAATTGCTAGTTTAATTAGTAGTTTCATTTGGTTGTGCAAAGTCGGCCCACTCTTGCCAAATTGTGGCCCGAATTTCCTTTTCTAGATTATGTAGATGGGCCGCCAATCCTTGACCAAGATGGGTTAGGTCCCTAGGGTTTTAGGCTATAAAAAGGCACCTTATGTACAA